CTCAAGGCGCTTCCGGCAAACCAATTTTGTTTTATCAGCTTTTCAGTTGTCCTAGGCCATGCACACTAGATTCTCTAGATCAACTTGTTGCATATCAATGCACTTTGCGTTATTTTTGCATCAAGCACATGTAGATTTGCGAACCAAAAAGCTGGGGATGCTCAGATGTTCCTGTTGCTTGCAGCCTCTATGTGCTTGCTGCTTGCTTTTTCCTCTCGCAGCCGAAGTGGCCTTGGTCGTGCACCCTGATGCATCAGCCGGCAAGGATAGCTTTATGGATGTTTATGGCCATGGATCACCTTTTCTTTTGTTTCATCTCTCTCTCTCTCTCAATAACTATCCCTCCATCGATCTATGCATTTGCTGTATCGATCTAGCGATCTATTTGTCCACCCGCCCTTTGCTTTTCAGCTTTTCAGCGTTCTGTCCTCGTTCGATTGACATCATTTCTGATATTTGTGCACAGACAGTATATAGTATATACGGATGGCCGACATTGAGGCCTCGGTGGCGTCAGCATCAACTCTTTTGATTTTTTGAGTTCTTGTTGGGTTGAGCCACTTGGATCTGAAACGAACAGATAATTTCCTGGGTTTGCGCTCGGCAATTGCTGCTTGCAGGGGAGTTTGTGCCCCAACGATATCTCCAGCTGCAAGAAGCCATTGAGGAGCCATCGGTGTTTCAGAGGATGTTGGGTCATGAAACTTTGCAGCCAGGGCTTTGCCAAGTGCTGACGAAACCTGTGAAGACTGTGGAGTCCAGAAGCGCTGAGCTTCACATAAGGCATTATTCTTGCTCTTTTGGGTCAGCGAGTTTGTTATCCCGGCGCCACAGCGATAAGGACTTTTTAAAGTCTTGGTCTTTGGTTTGACTTGGAAAGCTTGATCGTGTGTTCAAGCAATGGTGGAATGGGCTGAAACAAATTTGGGGAAACAATGTTGGAAACACTGGCATTTCTTCTGGCACACATGACGCAGGCGCAGAGCTCACGCTCCGCCACTCCCCAAGGTGCTTTCGGCATTTCAGTCTTGTTAGTTGATCCACTGTTCGATGATCTTCGATGCATGTCGTTACAAAATGTTACAAAAACGATCAAAAACGCACTTTTGTTATAGTGCCTTGATTCCAACTCTTACTAAGTGTGATTCCTTTGCAAGGAGGACGCTACTAAGAGCAAAGGGCATCGCTACTAGGAACAAGACGCTACTAGGAGCTTTGCAATCCTTTGCATAATCCTTTGCATTCAGTTGGGTCACTGCCAGGTGTGGCTCTCGAGGCGCGGAGCGACTGCTTTCACAAGGTTTCGGGACGCTCGGTTGCTGTTTCCAAGCAGAAATCACCAATGATCGCTACTCTTATTTGCTGATTTTGCTGCTGACCACTGTTGCTCGCCCTGTGTATTGGGTCATGGCTTGGAAGTGTGTCACGTGCCTTGCCAGGAAACCACGCAAGGCACCGGAGTTCGAATCCATGTTTGTGCTTGGCTGTTTGTGCATGGGTCCAACTGCAGCAATCGCACAAGTTTTTGACTTTGCAACAACATCACCTAGTCTCTAACTCAGCATCAAAGCATGGGCATGGGTGCAGAGCACTGCCCAGGTTGTAGAGCCACTTTGAAAAGCTAAAGCTTTAGGGCCTAGAGAGAGAGAGAGAGAGAGGCCAAGTGAGAGCCGCAAGTTTTTCGGGCCTTTCGGGGTAGGCTGGCCACGATTGGTGCAGCTGGTCTTGCGGCAGCACCGGCAAAGTCGGATGCAGGTGGTTGTCATGTCGACAACAAGTCGTGACGTTCGGCCGAATTGTGAACCGGTCGATTGAGACTCCGAGGCTTCACGCTTTTGAGAGAAAGATCTTGACAGACCAGGTGAAAAGGTGGATCCACTCGGTCATTTGTGGTGAACGGAACTTTATAGAAAATTTGTGGCCGGGCTCACTATGTTTACCAAGCAAGCTGGCAGGGATGAAGCTGGATTAATGATTAAGTGGCCAAAGGCCTACTAGGGGCTGTTGGCCTTACTACTAGGAACAAGAAGCTACTAGGGGCTCCTGGCATCGCTACTAGGAGCAAGGACGCTGGTAGGTTGGAGGCCATTGATAAAAACGGTGCTTTTATTTGTTTTAAAGCTTTGCCAAAGGCCCAAAGGGGTGGAGGAGTGGTCGACAAAGCCGTGCAGAGGCGATGACCCGCGGCTTCTACTATGATTCTCAGCTCAGATTGGCAGCGACAACTTTCGATCTTTCAATCTTTGAGCACAGTAGATACAACGGATGTAATTACAGAGTCCTTTGGCATTCAGAGACCCTGGATATCGTCAAGAGTTGACAGTGTTGGGGTCATGTGTTTGAGTCTGGACTAAGACTCACCAAATCCCATAGGCCCGCGGGCAAATCCAAATATGGTCCACCCATGCAAGTCGCGCTTTCAAAGGTGTGGTGTGCAGAGCTTCTCATGTTTGCAAGGGCTGACACAGCACGCTCCATGAACCAAGGATGCAAAGAAAGCCCGCCGCCAAGAACGGAAGCTGGCTGCGGCTCAGGAGGCCCATTGGTGTCAGCTTAAGAAGAAGCCATCATGTGATGAGGAATTGACTCACTTGTATTTGCGTCCATAGCTAGCAGGAGTACAAATGTCCTGTGAAGTGCAACGATATAATATGAACATGTACAGTAGATGACCTGCATTTCTACTCAGGCCTTTTGCAGCTTGGCCCTTTTTTGCCTTATATGTAATATAACATATATATATATGATTATATATATATATAAGTACAACCGGCCTTCAACGCCGACATATCCGCATGGTAGTTGATCAAATGGTCGGCATAAGGCCTAGGCCTAGGGTCATTGCGTGCCTATGCTGTTCGCAAAAGTCCTTTTCGAGTTTCCAAAGTTTTGTTGCGAAAGATCTGCGACAGATACAGTAGGTACTGTATGTGGAAGCAACCAGACCAAGAAGACTTCTAGCACATACCCCCCGCGCAAGTTTAACATGGAGTTCGTGAAGGATTGATTATTCATGCACAAAAGTACAGATAATTTTCGCGAAGAATAGCGTTTTCGTAAGAAGGAACTTGGATCAACCATCACATTGGCTTGCATAAGTGCAAATTGATAAGTAACCCTGTGTGCTTCAACAAAGACGGTAGGGACTGTTCGCTGTATGTGGACACACCAAGCTGTCGCTTGTACTACTTGTGCACCAGCACTCGACGGAAAAGCACATAATCATATATTATCTCGCGCAAAGAATACTTTCAGGCTTTTTGCTTTAGATACTTTGAGAATCCAACTGTAGGCAACACATATTAAAACAATAATTTTTTTTGTATTTTTGAAGTGGAGCCGGATGAATCAACGTATTCTTGCGCCAAAGTGGTCAGCGGAATACCCTATATGTAGCTTGCAGCCTCGGCCTTTGGCTTGCATGCTTGCATTGTCGCAGGCACCTCTCTGTCACCAAACTCAATGCCCCTCTCCTTGTAGCCCTATCATTGGAATGATTGAATTAGCAAGTTTGTTAGTGCTTCGGGCACATGCATACCCTGCATAGCAGGAGGCACGCCAGCAACGGTCCCGAGAGGAGGGGGGTTCGCGGAGAGAAGTCAGTGCTGACCGACTTTGCTCTTGTATTTATTGCCTCACGAATTATTTATTGCCTCACGAAATGGTTTCAAAAAGCCCAAGGAGAAGTAACCCTTGAATTAAAGTGAAGGTGGACTGCCCATGTCTTGACAGCTTCCCAATGGAATCTGCTTCAGTTTGCCCAAGAATCATGTGGGCCATATCAGCCATGTCGAGACATTCCAAGTGGGAAGGACAGCTTTTCTTGTGCCATGTCAGTTCCGTTTGTTCTAGATTCCAGCTGCTTTGGATAGAAAGGCACCAATCAGCTGTGTCGAGCACTGCACCCCTGGCCACCTTTCATGCCACCCCCCACGTCACTGTGCCTCTGGCAGATCTCCAGCACTTGGGAGCACTTTAGTGAGGCCATCTTGAGGCAATGGAACGGACATGGCCACAATGCCAAAGTGATCAGGAGTTGCCAACATGAGGCGACAGACACGGACAATTCAAGTATCATGAAGGATTTCATGGCTTCCTTTGTTTGTGTTTTCGTTGTAGATGTCAAACAAGTAACAAGAGGGTTTTGCTGATCGAACCCTTCAGTGGGTCTTTGAGCCCACTTGCTAGAACCAAAGAAGTACCAAGATCATCCAAGATCCAAACCGAACATCGCTCTTTTCAGACTCAAAGGGACTGCCTGGACTGCAGATTCCGGTCAATATTTTGTGGCTAAACATGATTTGATCCAAAGCAAAGTTTCTTGGACCGAAATCTGAGGACCAGACAATCAAGACCGTTGACAGTGTTCGTGAGGTTTTGCAAACTCTCATAAGTACAAATCTTGTGCGGAGCCAGTTTACAATGTTTTAAACGGATTTTCAGGCGACCAGATGTAGAAAGACTTGTTTGGGTGTTTTTAGATTTCTTTTGATGGCACTAAGTACCACCTGGAGATGTTGCGGTCGGAACCAAGTTTGGGTTGACTCCCCTGAGTTCCGAGCAGATTCGCCACCTTTGCCTCGCCATGGGTTCTGCTTGAAATTGACTTCAGCAACAGATCAAGAGAATATCGATGCAGTTCCGTGAAGCGGTGTACTTTTCCAGAACATCCACAACCAAGCACATGCACCCGAGCCAGAGAGCCAGAGTTGGAGAATAATGGTCATGTGAACCCCGTGATTTGATCATCTACATGGTTGCTTGTGTATCCATACCACCTAGTGAGCCACGCACCCATACATACTGTAATAACTATTTTTGTTTCTGATCTTGGACAGCAGCAAGAATCGCCTTCGTCACATCCATCCAGGATCTTAATTTGAATAGATGCCTAGCAATGCGACTTTGCCAGGTTTACCAGGCAACACCAATTCAATAGACAGATAGCTGATTTGTTTCGTGAGTCATTATTGCCTCGCCCAAAAGCCAACTATTTCCAACTGCCAACTGCTGGGGTGTCTCAGAATGGCACCCAAAGTCTCGCCCCGGCGCCATGGGACCGGGCCCCTTTGCTTGGCCCTCTCAGTGACCTGGCCCCAAGAGCGGTGGAAGGTGTGGACGTCAGGTTCGGAGCCGAAGCTCCCTTCCCTGTATTGCAATCGAAGTTTCCATCAAACCCGAAGCTCTTCTTGTGTACTTACTCATGTTACTCCAACTAAAGATGCATAGACATCGTAGCCCCTTGAAGTCCACTCAGGAAACCGTTGATGTCACACTGAAATAAAAATATTAAAAGCAGCTCGCAGAAGATGCGATCACCATTACTCGTAGGTACGATCAGTTTCCTTTTTTAAATGTTATTGTGAAGCTTGCCATTTTTGGTTTCTGGTTTCCTGGTAACTTTCAGGATTGGGACGCTCAAGAGGCCTGGTTCCCTCGATTGTTTTAGAGTTCTTTGAGATGTGGGAATACTTGAAGGTAGAAAGCCCGCTGCGCTCAGCTCGTTTTCTTGACCTGCTTTTCTCCTCTGACGTCTGCTTGCTGCACTGAAGCTTTTCGAGGGAACCAAGCGGCCAAGGTTGCGATTTTCTGCGCCTCTAGATGCTTCGTAGGACAGCCGAAAGTGAGCCTTGGCCTGCACTTTTGTGTTCACATGAACGAATCAGAGGTGCTGTCATGCTTACTTTGGGACGCCTGGCAAAGCCTCGCTTTCTTGCCTTCAGGAGAGAACGGCTGCCCCTAAGAGCCGAAGTATCAGAGGCGATTTGTAAAACCAGCGCTGGGTTTGAACTACACAGCCTCATGCCGTGCAATAGGGAAATCAACAGCGACGCAGCGCATGAGGGTGGTTCTTTGATGGCTTACATGGCTGTCGCTTAATTACTCGAATTTGGTAGATGAATTTTGGCAGTGGAGTATTTGGTTTCTTGATTTTGTGGTGTGCATCAGGGTAGCAGGGTTTTGATTAACGGCTTCGTGAGTCACTGGTGTTTCAGTGAGGAAACCTGCTGTACAATCCTTTGCAATCGATGTAGAATCTGACATATCAAATGGTCAATGCTTGCAGGCAACGCAGGTAAAGACCGAAGAGAAGAACTGGTTCGAGCAGACCAAGGAGCCGCAATGTGTGGGGGCAAGCGGCAAGCACTGTTGAATCGTTGGAACTCAGCCTTTAGGGAGCGATGAAATCGGCAAGTAGAACATTTTTGCATATATATATACATCGTTTTTGTTACAAGACTGTCTCTCTCCTCTCTTTCTCTCTATGTATATTTTCATCTTGACGTAACGCACTCTTTTTCCGCTGCTCACACAAAGCAAGTTTTTAACTAGTGACGCAAATGCACTCCTGACTCCTTACCAATCCTTTGGCACGATTCTGGGCTTGTTTGCAGACAAGCTGTGGTTTGCAGATGGTAGAGGGATCCTGTACGAAGCTAGTGCATCCCAAGTGCGTGCTGAGGAGTGTAACAGTACATTCGCGACGCACTTGATTTTTGCACAATCAGCCAGGACTTCTGGGACGATCTTGAAGTTTTCCTGCCCATGGAGCAGGACAGTGGAATGTTCACTTGGAGATGATCTAGTGAATAATCTAGTGACCTTTCCGCAAATACCTCACCAGCGGTTGTGCCATTTGACATTGGGGACAGTTTTGTTCCTGATGGAGTGCAGGATTACGATTTGCATGCTTACTTTGAGCCGCTGGCAGGACAAAGCCCCGGAAGCAGTAGCGCTCATGAATCAGACCAAGCCGCTCGTCTAGCGGATGTATGCTAGGCTAGGCCAAAGCGAATGTCACCACCTATCGAATTCTTGCCACAATACAGAGATTGATCAGAGGAAACATCCGTCTCCTCTTGCATGAATCAAGCCTAAACTGCCCAGGGACAAGGTATATCAGATTCAGATTCGATAGATTAGGCTCACCAAGCGGCTGTTCTTTTGTGGCAAGCCGCCTGCGAGATGTACTCAACAATTCAGAGAATAGGAAGAACCGCAGATTGGCTAGCACCCCACTGAAATGACTTAAGTGACTAGGCATTTTTTTTCTGGACAATACATGGTTGGTGGTGGTGGTGGTGGCGGTGGCGGTGGTGGTTGCACACATGAACATCAGGAAGGTGGAACGCTTGACAGAAGAACAGGCGCGAGGGATGCCTCTTGAATGGCCGGGCTCTGGTGATGTCTCCAAAGAAAAGACAGTCTTGTCACTTGTCAGTTGGTTCATTTTGGGCATTTCAACAGGATGAAGATATGCTTGTCGGACAGAGAAGAACCAAAGCCTGGAGGGTTGACCACATCTGTGCAAGGACATGCTTGAAGAAGGCCTAGGGCGCTTGGGACTACTAAACGTAAACGAATAGTCTGAATGGTGGTTGCACTGTAGAAACTTCCAGGCCAAGCATATAAGATTATATAGTATACTGTAAGTGTTTTGTTCCCCGTAGCTGTAGCATACCTGTATGCTGGACCACCGACAGTCATTGGCAACCTTTTCCACATGTATGGGGCGACCCTCAGTCAGGCTTGGTTTTGCATTGTTGCAGGAAGCAGTCTTGGCCAAAAAGTCCTACCTTCGCGGGAAGTCAGATGAAGCCCTTGGAGACGAGCTCAACAAGCTTCAAGATCTTTCCTACGAGCACCCCGCTTGAGTCTATAGCAACAGATGGTACTGTTGGAATCACTTGATTTGGCGACTGAACTCTCCAGTAGAGAACAGTCGAGGTTTGTGCATAATGACAAGAGTTTCACTCACCTTACGATTCTGTGGGAGATCACACTTGGCATGAGAATAGAGAATAGAGGAGGCCTTCCTGGTCAAATGTTGGAATGCAGAAGGCAGAAAGGTTCGGATGTGTCCAAAACTAATATATATATATACATATATATATATACACATATATATATGTATATGTATATATATCTAAGGGGCTTCGCCCCGATGCCGCAGAGTCGGTTCAAATGCTGCCGAAGCCTGGTTCACCCTGCACAGACCGGAGCACGGAAGAGTGCCTGCAAGTAGAATAACAGCTTCTTGAACAATCAAGGTCTTCAAACAATCTTGCCCACAGTACCTACAACAGGTGAGTCTTCAGGAGCTCTTGACCCGCGCCTGAAGTGGCCCATAGCACTCGGGGCGAGCAGCTCCGCAAGACCAAACACCCCTCAAGGCGAACGGAAAACCTCCAGGCTGTCAAGTTTTGGTGGCCCACTAGGTGCGGCGTCTCCTCCGTTTGATGCCCTTGTTACTAGTAGCTTCTTGTTACTAGTAGTAAGGGGCCTTGTTACTTACTAGTAGCTTCTTGCTACTAATAGTAATGCACTTGTCACTAGTAGACATGTCCTTGTTACCAGTAGCTTTTCAATCCCTTATACAGTAACTCTTCTTGCTCGGAGACAGGGTGCTGGGTGCTGGCCCACATGATCTCTTTACGCGCTCTCCATTGCATTAGCACCAGGGTCGGCGGATATACACAATGTATATTACATGTACACATACATACGTACAGTTTTTTCAGGTCAAGACCTTTCTCTTACTTTCTTGGTGCCTTCAAGGCTACGACCTTGGAGTAGTGATGCAGCACCATTCTGAGGTACTGGAAGATGAGAGTCTACAGGCAATGTTTGGTTGACTTCGTGTTTGGTCCCTCCAGACGGGGGGTTCTCCGAAGGGTTCATGTCTCGGAGAGGTTCATGTCATGTTTTTTGATGTTGTTTTTTGTCGTTTTTCGATGTCGCTCGATGTGCGTCTCGGGTGGGGGTGGGGGGGGTCAATTAGCACACGAACATGGTTTGATGTTATGTTTCTTTCATGTCAAGTTGATGTTCATTTGCAAACACGTTTCATGCTATGTTTCTTTCATGTTAACTGGATGTCCGGGTGGGGGGTTATGGATAAGTTTCTTTTTTGGAGATGATTTCGGATCAAGACTTTCAGGTTGCTCTTGCTTTTTCTTACGTTTTGTTGCTTCGCATCGCTGGCTGCTGTCTTCCTTTGACTTGTGTTCGTATCAAACATTTGTTTCGAATCAATCCTTTCACTTTGGACCAGTGGCTGGATATCCTTTCCACTTACTCTGCGGCTGACGACATCGTTTCCTTTGTTCGTTCTTGTGCTTTGATTCCTGATCGTCATTGGTTCGATCCTTCCGAGGTTGCTCACTCGTGTTTGTTGGCTGATGCATGGTTGAGACACACTGCCGGAAAGCAACTTTCACAAACATTGTTGGTTTCTGCGTTTGTTCTTTCTCGACGTTTGTTGCAAATGCGTGAGTTGCCTCTAGCAAGCCATGTTGCTGAAGCCGTGGTGAGACCTCAACCTGCACTCTCTCCAGTTCCGAAGAGAAAGATTGAAGAGTGTGAAGGGAATGCCGAAGCAACCTGGAGATATGGCACTAATCACTAATCTATTTTCGTTGTGCCTGTTTTAAAGATTGGAATGTAGACTCAAGTGTATGTCCAACCCACTCAATCAACACTGCTTTTCGAATCAAAATCTCAGGCAAGCTTTGCTCACCACAGTTGGTGGCTGATAGGGAGATATTCTGTGACAGCGGCAAGTTTGGGTATTCTTGGTCCACGGCGTTTGGGCTCAAAAGGCGCCGAAGTGGGCGTTCCTTTTGCTTACTGAACCCTTCAGCCCAAGGTGGCTGAGACCGGGCCGAAGTGCCCAGATTCGGCTAGGCACAAACCTGGTCTAGCTAGGAAGCCCCAACCCTTCGAACACAAAGAGTGAGTCGCGCGTTGTAAACATTTTGTCAGGCTGTAGGTTCGTGTCACTCGAAGGGTCTGGACAAATCACATGGCTTGCTTCTGGGGCATGCCTCTCGCTTCAGCCGTTTTCTTGACTTTGGCTGGTCTGGTCCTCGCAACAGGTTGGGGTCAAATGAGAAAGCCCTTGCTTTGACATTGTCAGCATACTGTGGACACGACCAGAGTTCCAAGCCAGACAATGACCAAAAAAGTCAACAATGCTGTGATGTTGTGCTTCTTGAGAATTGCATTCCACCTGTGGTTCATTGGATGAGGTGCTCCCTTCATCGATGACACCGACGAGGTTCTTCACCTGGTGCAGCGTTCGGCGTCTTCACGTCGGTCCCGCGGTCCTGCTGCAGAAGGCCCCTTTCGAGCAGCACTGGTGGTGAGCATCGACCCTGAGAGCTATAAGGCCACGGAGGGTGAGCTAAGACACTCGATCTGAGGAACACCAAAATAGGATGGGACACGTGGGCTAGTGCATGATGCTCTTGCCCGGTATGGAAGGGCTTGGTGTGTTGGGAGGCCTTACCTTACACTAGGGATTGTATACGCTCGCCCATTGTGAAAGCCTGACTACGAGAGGACTCGTCCCGCGAAGTCTTCCGTTGCTAGTTCCAAAGCAGCACCTGTTACCTGGGCTCTCTTGATTAGGTAACAATCCCCGAAACAGGGTCCGAAGACGGACTTCCTGCAAGTTTCTCACCGTATATACAGCAAGAAACCCAGTAATTTCTGAAGAAAGATACCTGGTGAGCCATGACTGAGGAGATCAAGGAGTTCTGGCCGAGATGGTGAGAGGCTTTGACGGAAATCGGCGGAAGAACTCGAAGGGGCTTTGCAGCTGCTCACCGACTATGGCAACACTCAACACTTGCATCCCACCGTGGCTCGAAAGATTTGGACCTCAGAAACCACTTGAGATGAAGCAGAGCAGAACGGGACCATTAGGCTGCTAAGAAAATCTGTGACATTCCATTGCAAAGCTACCAATCCTTTCTACTGGTTTTCCAAGTCCGCCCAAGTGGGCTCCATTTTGTCGACCTACTTTCCATTGAAAGAATAAGCAACAACGACAAGCTGACAAGCACAAGTACTATAGAGAACTCATAGATGGTATAAACATAGACTGCATAGACTAGCATTGCTTTGAAACGTGACCCCGTTGGCTCCGCCCATGAGGTCAGTAATTGGCTCCTTTGTATGCATACGTCACCTGGGAAACCTCCCAATATCACTGCAGCCAGTGCAGAGCTGTGGCACAACCTGATGCGTCAAGCACCAAGGTATCTTGGTAAGCTTTGGCCTTTTTGTTCCTCTTGGGCTTCTAGTTTGCTCACAAGATTTTTCTCAGACTTAATCCCAACCTTCTTCACTAGTTTGATTTCCTCTTCGGTACGAGATGCCAAGGAATGTCACTGAACTCTTGGCCCGTGACCAGCACGGTTGCGTGCCTAAAGTCATCGCCATTGCAGCGGCACATCTCCGTCTCTGGCAGGGCCTGGCGAGCCTTGGCGCTTTTCGAGGTTGATGTGCGTCACGCTTTGACCGGGATGTGGGACCGTGGGAGATTTCATAGACTCTATATACTTGTCCGAAATGAGAAGATTTGACAGGGGAAGGTTGGTGTTCGCTAAATACTAAACGCCTTTCTATGAGCAGCCTAGAGCGGCTTTCTGTCAAATATCGAGCACAATTTGATGTTTCAGCTGATGTCAGATTGGAAGAAGAGTCTTTCTTTGACTCACGCGTGTTTCTTGTTCAATCACCAGGAATGGAAGCTTGCCCGCTCGTACAGATTTGGGAGAACTCACGGGTGAAGATCCCTGGTACCTAGTGATGGAGGACGATGTAGCTCTTTGTCCAGCGTGGCGGGAGAGGATGATGCAGGAGCTGCCACAGGCACCAATTGATGCCGATGTCATCAAGCTCTATTTCTTTGGGCATTGGCGGAAGGCTGGATCTCTGCTGACAACTCACTTCTGTGAGCGATGAGGAGAGATAGGACCAATATGAGCCAAAGGCGGAGCACTCTCCAAAGCTTCCTAAAGGTTTGTGCCCATGTTTCCCGACACTGTTTTTTTCTCTCTCCACACAGGAGCTTTCCAAAGCTGCAGCATGCAAAAACTAACCAGACACATCGTAACACCCTGTGGCAGTTGTGCTGGGGACACAGTCCATTTCACTTGTCAATTTGTTTGTTCGATCGTTCTATTCTACACATACATATACATTCAGACATACCTACATCCACATAGAAAGACGGCAGATTACCGAAGATGCTTCTGAACACTACCAGCACTGCAGATAGGGGATTCTATTCCAAGATCATGCATGACCAGACATCTCCGCCTTTGATAAAGCACAGGCTAGTTTGGCCATCACGATTTTGTGTAGGCACATCTAGACATTTTGTGTTAGGAGTGCATGTGATTAGCAGGAACATGGCCGGGGCACATAGAGACACCAGAAAAGATCATCTTTGTCTCGGATGTTCGTTGTCAATTGTACTGCGGATTCCACTATCCAGACACGGTTTGGGCCAGGAAGATGCGGTGACTGGGCTCAACAATTCCGCGACACCCTTCCTCGAGGCTCGTGATCCCTTGCGTTCCTCAGCTGATGGTCTGATGGTCTGTTCCTTCATTGTCTGGAATTATATGGTGGATTGACCTCGGTTGACCTCAGATCAATCATGGGTTTCGCCATGCTGGCAATGTCTTGGCTTGAGTCAAATGGTCGCGACCCCTGGCAATTTCTCTTTACTGCAATTCTACAGGGCCCAGTTTCCTTTTTTGAGGTTCCTTCGACCTCTTCAAAGCTGCCAGCTACGAGCTTTTGCATGGGCGTGGGTGGTCCTCTGTGCCCATTGCAGGGTTCTATGCAGGGACCCAGGCATACTTAATCAGGCCAGGGTGCGATGGGCGAAGAAGACAGCTTCAACAGATGACACCTTCATTGCCAAGAGTAAGAATCAAATGGATCACCCAGAAGCCCCTAAACTTACTTTAAGCGTATGTAGGACCCATCAAAGAAAGGCACTTACATATACAATTCTTTCAAAACTCTAGACTCTAGATGAGGGAAGCTTGGATCACGAAAACCGAGTGAGTCCAAAACGCGAGGCCCTCTGGAGCACGGAAGCTCTTGAAGAAGATCCGGGGGCAACCCTTTCAGGACTGTGGTTGACATGAACCTGGAAGAACAGATAAACAGCTACAAACATGACGCTTTTTGGGCACATATGTTTGTTCGTTGTGTGTCCTGTGTGAATATTGGGTAAAGAGACATCACTTGAATGTCATGGGTGATCACTACTCAACATGGACGCTACTAGGGGCTCCTGGCCGTACTACTAGGAGCAAGGACGCTACTAGGGGCTCCTGGCATCGCTACGAGGAGCAAGGACGCTACTAGGGGCTCCTGGCATCGCTACTAGGAGCAAGGACGCTACTAGGGGCTCCTGGCATCGCTACTAGGAGCAAGGACGCTAGCAGGGGCTCCTGGCATCGCTACTAGGAGCAAGGACGCTACTGGTGGCTCCTGGCATCGCTACTGGGAGCAGGGACGCTACTCTGGCATCGCTACTAGGAGCAAGGACGCTAGCAGGGGCTCCTGGCATCGCTACTAGGAGCAAGGACGCTACTAGGGGCAAGGACGCTACTAGGGGCTCCTGGCATCGCTACTAGCTAGGGGCAAGGACGCTACTAGGGGCTCCTGGCATCGCTACTAGGAGCAAGGACGCTACTGGTGGCTCCTGGCATCGCTACCGGGAGCAGGGACGCTACTCTGGCATCGCTACTAGGAGCAAGGACGCTACTAGGGGCTCCTGGCATCGCTACTAGGAGCAAGGACGCCACTAGGAGCTCCTGGCATCGCCACTAGGAGCAAGGACGCTATTGGGGCTCCTGGCATCGCTACTAGGAGCAAGGATGCTTCTAGGCGTTTCTGGCATTGCTACTAGGAGCAAGGACGCTACTAGGGGCTCCTGGCATCGCTGCTAGGAGCAAGGACGCTACTGGGGCTCCTGGCATCGCTACTAGGAGCAAGGACGCTACTAGGGTCAAGGACGCTACTAGGGGCTCCTGGCATCGCTACTAGGATCAAGGACGCTACTAGGGGCTCCTGGCATCGCTACTAGGAGCAAGGACGCTACTAGGGGCCTGGCATCGCTACTAGGAGCAAGGACGCTACTAGGGGCTCTACTAGGAGCAAGGACGCTACTAGGGGCTCCTGGCCTTACTACTAGGAGATGTTTTCCTCAGGACATTGATATGACGATGATGCTCTCGGTGAAGAATTACGACACTTGGCTCAAAGACCTTATCCTAAGCTTAATGAGCACTTGAAGTTCCTTGGCGTTGAAACAAGCAATGACCGGGGCACTTGGATTCAACCCCCAGCATTGGCTACAGATGTACCTTGACTAGGACTGATAGGATGATGTTAGATTGTATGCTTTGCTATACAATTTGACCCCAGTTTTGTCCACGAAACCTCGCCTCTTTCACAAACAGTCCGAGGTATGGCGAAAGGTGTTGGCTCATGGCCGACCGGAGGATGTCACTAGGTTTGAAAAGGTCACTCTTTGGATGTGCACAGGTTGACTCAAGCAAGAATACCGCTGCTTTCGAGGTAAGTTCCTTATCATCTCCATTCATTTGTCACTTAAAACCACAACATTTGAGCAACATATCCATACTCGTCGGCAAGAAATTGTTACTGACTTGCTTGATGTACTACCAATCCTGAGACCTCCAACTGCAAGAGTCTGCCAGTATTGAATTACTGAGTTACAGAACCTCGCAGGAACTTTACGGAACTTTACTTCTTGGGAAGGAGCGGTAGTACGTGGCCAGTGGCTCTGGGAAAGGGTTTCGTAGAGCAGCAACAAGGAACAACAGGGAGCCATGACACATTTTGAACGATCTCACTTACTGTAATATATCCTTGCTAGACATTTGTCATTTGTCTGCTGGGCAATTCAGGTAAATCTACTGAAGTTTGATGAGCTGAGTCTTTTGCAGCGCACGGTGCCGGACTGCAACTCTGAGCCGCCGGAGGATCAGTTCTGGTAGCGCAAAAAGTCGTCGCGGCCAAGCTGGCTGTGCAGTGTTCCGATGTGCCACAGTGGCGGGGGAAGGGTTGCTGCCAAGCAAAGCAGGTGCAGTGCAGTAGCTTTTGCAGTCTTATAAGTATTTGACATCCTCTACTTCTTCAAGGGTCCCATCTTGAGTTTGCTCCCATTGGTGTGCCCGCCACCGCAAAGTAGGGTCCTGCAGAAAGGGTACATACCTCTACTCAACCTCCTGTATACATCTGAGCGTGAAAGGGTCACGCGCACCCTTCTCCTCCCTAAGACTTGAGCGAGCTGGAGTTTATTGACCAAGGGAAACGGATTCTTCTTATGTGCTTCATCCCAGGAATTCAATATGTTCTTTCTCTCGCCAGGGTCTTCAGCAAAGAAAGTGTCAAGCAGGGTTTTGCATCTTGGCAAGGTTACGGATGGTCAGCGGGGAAAGATAAGTGATATTGAGTAGTTCTAGATTTAAGGAGTGAATGTGTGTCATGCTTGTCATAGTTGACTTGCTAAATCTCACATCATTTGAGCACTCTCTTTAGGTATACCTTTGAGAGTGTCTAGCGAGCAAACACCTTCCCCAACAGTGTGAGAGAAAGCTGTTTCTTTTTTGTGAGAGTTGCAGAGTATTGGTGAACCTCAACAGGGTTTGATCACGCAAACATACAGTATAGTATTTGTCTTGATGTGCTCAAGTTATGCTGCGGTCAGACTGCCGGGGTCACCAACAAGAAATTTACAGTATACGAATTGAATGGGGTAGCGGCAGTTCTCTGTGCAAAGGGATGGTTCAAGGTGGACAGCCCCCAACACTATGTAAGCTTCGGCATGTACGCAAACCCTTTACATGGTGATGCAATCTCACAATGCTTCAAGTAATGCATGTAATGCAAATATGAATACTTTATACATATACCATTTTTTTTTTGCACGCCTTTTTCGGGCTGGGGACCATAGTGCAGACTCTGAGGTCAGTTTTCTGACCTATGGCAATGCAATTTTCATTTTGATATTTCTACGAACTGTGGTTCCGCGATTGCTAGTGCCGCTGGGCTGTCTGGCGTTGTGAGGACTTCAATAGTCTGAGATTATACTCTTGTCTACTCAGTAGATGCGGCGGAGTGTTACTAGCTTCGATACAAAAGCAAGCGAGCAAGTGAGAGTTACTAGCTTAGTAAATAGTCGAGCAAGCCGACCAGCAAGGGAGTAAGAAGGCTTAATGTGGAGGTGCCCAGGGGGTGGGGTTATACGCAAAGAAGAGCATGCAATTGTTGGAGCCCACAGGCTTCAAGATTGATATGTTGTTTTTGGTCTCCAGAGTAACAAGGGCATCGGGACCAGTAGCTAGTTACTAGTACAGAATGGGAGCCGTCCACCGAGCCGTACACCTTGAATTCATTCTCTATAACCAGTCTTACAGACAAGTTCAGAGCACGTTCAAGGTGAGACCTTCATTTGTCCAATCGTCCAGGCTTCCAACAAAGTGGGAATAACGTATTATTTTGCAGATTGCTACTGGAAGCATTCACGTGGTCATGGGCACATCAGCCTTAGTTGGAAAATCATTGATATACAGTGGTATACGAACCCATTACAATGGTCTATTGACCACTTCACCAGTTAAAAGAGCCAGACAGCCAGACAACTGCTACGCAAGTGACAAGCAGGTGACTCTGAATGAGTTCTTTTTTCAATCGCATGTTTGATCCTCTCGAACATGTAGCTTCTTCAATCAAGTCATTGTGGATTCACAACAAACTACTGTAACCATTTCAAAGAACGTGACATAGAAATGCCATCACACTTGCATCAGTAAACATCTCTTGATATCGGATCCTTCTGTGAGATTCTTGACATCGTTGATGCTTGGTTTTGGGGTAACTCGGGTCCTGGTGACAATGAACTGCATATGTAAAGCTCTGCAGCGTTTGATCGATTCCTCGCAGAGCTTCACTGCTGCCAGCACCGAGAATCTCTTCGCTGGATGACTTCTTTGGTTTCGCGAACGAGATCGGAGTCCCCAATCGGCAGACATTGAATGCACCTTGGCAACGCGGATGGAAGTGTCGGAAGGTCTCCAAGGTCCTAAACAATCGAGTTCAGGGCAAAGAAAGAGAGGATCCTAAGGTCCTACAGTTCATGCTTGTTGTGTTGTGGCATAAACAACTACACATGACAGTAACTGTATGGATATTGCCATTGCGCTTTGAGGCGGCTGGTGGTTCTAGGTCGAAAACGTCTCCCCAGTGGCTGTGCGATGTCAGGTGAAATGCGCCATTTTCCGAAGGTCCGAACACCATCACTACTACTCCTCCTCCTACTCCTACTCCTACTCCTACCCCTACTCCTACTCCTACTCCTACTCCTACTACTCCTCCTGCTCCTCCTACTCCTCCTCTTCTTCTTCTTCTTCCTCTTCTTTGTCTTCTTCCATATCATCGCGGTCCAGGTTTGTAGGAGCAACGAGCAAGCAGGAGCAAGAAAGGACCAGTTCATGTCGACGGTCTGTATTCAGCGTACAGTCACACAAGAACCTCTTGGTATGTGTGTGTGTGTGTCTGTTTGAAGCCCTTGGAGTCACAGGGAATCCGTTGATTTGTTTTTGTGTTTTTACCGGAGAAATGCCTACTAGGTTCCGTTCTCAACTAGAACAATGTGTCCAGCCTTTGCAGCGGTTCTTCATCAGCAGATGTGCATTCGTTTCTTCGCCGCCTTCGTCGAGGTTTTTGATCTTCTTTGAGACTTGGGCCTTTGGAACTTTGGAACGTTGATGATTCTGCACTATGTGCTACCTGTTTTACCCAGGCAATTTTTTCACTTAGGCTTCTTCAGGGCTTGTGGCGATCAGTTCAGTATGCAATATCTCGAGTGTGTCTGGCTTCATGCCAGCCCAGGGCGGCCCAGGGTGTGCCCGAGGAGTGTCCCCTGTGGCCCCGTTGAACGGGGGTTTGTCTCAGTTCCCGGTTCCCCCTTCTCGGGAACGTACGCGTCCACAGCGGACGGAGTAGGAGTAGGCTTGTGCCAAAGTTAGTTGCCAAGATTTGACGGACTATTGCAACTGAGTAGGCAGCCCTAGGGCACGCCAGAACGTGTCCACAGCGGACGTGGGTGTTGCAATTTCTGAATGGCCTGAGATGAAAGTGTTCTTGATGACACCGGGTTCGGTTGCCATGCCTGTGATCGAGAACTCACCGGAGATTTTATTGCTCAATCGTGCCAATCTGCTTTCGAGACCGTAGCCGGCAGCGATGGAGTTTAACTTCCCTTTTTTTGCACAGTTTTGTGTCTTTTGGGGCCTAAGATCCCTCAGGACTTTGATCAGTATGTCGGTGACCAAATCGAAGAGAACCTGGCAGAGCACCCGCTTGCACTACTTTGGGCCCAGCGAGAAATGAGGGATGTTCGGGCAAATCTTGTGGACATGCATAAACTAATTCGACAGACGTGCCTAGATTTAAGGGTGGAAGTGGATTTCAACATAGCCCATTGGTCATCACCAAATGTGTCCAGAGATTTTTTGGATCACTTGTCAGCCGGACCGGAAGACAGAGCTTTTATTGACGTTCCATTTTTTGTCACCGATTTGTGGCTTTGTTGCTGGCATTGCAAGATGTGGAAGAGCGAGGATCGATGCATGATCCAGAGCGATGGCTGGCAAGATGTGCAGGAGGGATGATCGAACAAGTGATCGAACATCCCTGTTCTGTGCTCAGATGGTGTTTTTTCGCCATCGCATTTTCATTTCATTGCAAAACGCAATGCGGTCTACTGGACCGGGAATATGCCGTCATAGTTTTTGATGGACACAGATCACACAGGCGCTTGATGCTGAAAAATCTGGGTTCTGGCCACCGTATGTTCTTGTGGTTCTTGTGTCTTAAGTGTCGGATATTTGTTAGTTCGTATCTAGTCGGACGACCACCATGGGTTTGGGGTTACTTAGTATCAGTAGCCTAGGTCCGTCTAAGAGAAAGCTGACCTTAACGTGACGTGTCACTTAACGAAACGTGCTTGGCTGACTCGTGTACACTCGTCAGCTTTTCGACGTTTGCTTGGCGCAATCGTCGTTTAGGGTTTGTGTGAAAATGCAAAACCCGAAGAGCTTTCGCTTTTTTATTCTTCTCCTGTGAAGTTCGCCCAGCATGCAAGTGTATGGAATCAAAGGATAGCATCCGATAACCCCAAATAGTAATTCCGAAGATGTTTTTGCTCAACCCGACGGCCGAACCAATGATGATCAGAGCATTTTTCTCTTGAAGATCAATAACCAAACCGTTGAAGAGAAGTCCCGTGGTGGACACCGCACTGGTTTTTGTTCAAGCGCATCGAAAGGTGACAGCAATGCCCATCACCAAAGGGCAGTCCAGTTCGAGGACGCCAGGTGCACACAATATAAGTGAGCTAGAGATTTGAACATAAGAGCGCCAAAAGTGCCTTAGGATGACTCTTGTCATAGTGGGCTGCTTTCTGATCCAGTCAGACCGTGAGACGCCCTGACAGGCCAGAATCAACCCAATGGTGTGAGTGGAACCATGTGTGCGGCTAATGCCTGTGAACTTGCCAAACCGTGAGACGCTTTGACAGAGTGGAGCCACTATACCGATTTGATGAAAGTGCATCCGAGCCTTCGAAGTCACCAAAGGTTAGGACAATAAGACTGCAGCGCGCCTGTGCTAGAAAAGCATCTTTGGCAGGGTGACAATGTGTTGTTTTGTTTAGTTCTTGGCGCTTACAACTGTTCTAGTTGTTCAAGTTCAATCCTTGACGTCCACAACTGTCCCAGTTGTGCGCGTGGAGTTGTAGCTTGCTGTGTGTAGTGCTTGGTGGTGACCAGGAGTGACCATACGGAGTGAGTACATCCGAGCAGTTTTGTGAAGTTTGAGGTCCTTGAACGTTGGTACACTTGACAACCACTTCGTGAGGTTAAACTTCAGTGTCGTGCGACGCGCACCATTTGAATAGATTTGGTGACCAGCTTGAAAGAGAAAAGTGAGACCACATTCTTGGGACTCCACGTCTTCAGAGTTTTTGTTGTTTGAAAGCCCACAGTGCATTGCCTGTTTTTGGCGTTCAAACTAAATAGTGCAGTCACGAGGGTGACACGTACTTGTACACCAGGGATCTTTGGAACCATTGTCTTTTGAGGGTTCGTGTGTGCTTCAATGAGACTGATACGTGCAGACGTGGACACTTGAAAGCTTCATTTGTTCCTTGCATCACCACCCACGGTGACCAGAGTGATCTTTGGATTTCGAGTTTTGCGTTCTCGAGTGAGACAAAGTCAGAGCACTGCATTGGCCTTTGTCTTGAGAGGGGAATTGAGCATACCTGAACATGTTCGGAGAACTGTTCCTGGAATCGCTGGAAGCTGTCAAAAGTAGACTGAGTTCGGTTGCTACCGAACCACTGCAAGATAGACGACCGTGGACGCCAATTTGGCTCAAGGAGGGGTGAAAAGGAAAGATTATATGAACGTAGGGGCGCGTGTTTGAATTTGAAGAATTATACAAATTCGTGCTTTTGATCTTGAAGAGATCACGTCGTTGCCTTTCGTCCAGCCGCTTCTACCATCAAGATACCCTGCAGGGATCTGCGTATGGTAGCGGAGCCTCCGTGATGCCATCGATGCCACGGTCCAGAGGAGAATGGGTGCCGGTGAGCTGCAGGAGCAGGAAGGTGTCCTAGAAGGTCAGGTAGGTGGTCTGACAGAGCATGTGGCCTTCTTCGACCGTTGTCAGGAGATCCGCTGGAGCAGAGTCCAGAAGGGTTACCAGTGTCCTACGGTCCTGGAGGAGTTGTCCCAGGTGTCGTTGCAAGCGTCACGCGTGGTTGTCAAGGACAGGAGGCCCACGCAAGTCAAGGAGGTGGCCTTGGAAGTCAGGCAGGTAGTCAAGGATGTGGCCTTGGAAGTCAGGCAGGTATGAGTCAAGGAGGTGGCCTTGCAGGTCAGGTCGGCGTGATGCCAGGAGGAGGTATGCCGAGTCTAGTCCCACTCGTCCCTGTTGGAACGAGCATGGTCCTAATACAGATGCCGCAAGGTGTCCAGATACCACCTCCACCTGTGTCGTGTCACGGTGTTCCTTGTCAGGGAGTTGAGGGGATGTCCATGCCTGGTCCTGTAATGTTCCCGACAGGGCAGCGTCCACCTAGTTTTTGTAATGCGCCTGGTGCTTGTAGTGCGCCTCCGGGTATCCCACAGGGAAATGGTGTTGGCCAGTCGGGCCAGAGTTCGTCGACTGAACTGCTAATAGGTATGTGCATGCAGATGATGCAGTTACAACAGCAACAGATGCAACAGCAGCAGCAACAAATGTTCCAAGCAATGCAAGAGCAGCAACAGCAGTTCATGGCACTCCTCAATTCCCAACACGCCAGAGTGAGCAATGAAGGAGGTGCGTCGGCAGGACTTGGTTCAAGGGTCCCTGTTGGACCATCAGCGAGTGGAGGGGCCCCAGCCGGAACCGGTGTGGACCACCCTGGAAAAAGAAGCCTGTTTAAGAGTATCGACGCAAATCCTACCAGCTATGCCAGTACCAGACACTAGTAAGTGGAACACAAGGCCTGCTGAGATCCTGGGGTTCCATAGCTATCTAGACCAACTGACAGCATGGATAGGCATGATGCGACCGGAGTTTTCCAAAGATCAAGGCCAATTGCGGGCGGTGGCCTGCCTGCGGGTCAGAAAGAAAGGAGTAGTAGGCTATACTATATTTTGAAGCAAGCTCTTGAAAGAGTCCAAGGGTCCAGTCGATCATCAAGTTGCATGAGAGCAGCCTTGGAGTGAGTACCACGACCAATGGGTACCGTCTGGAAAGAGGAATATAGTTTCCAAACACGTTCTGAAGCTCTTCATTTTCGGTCTTGTTTGCTCAACTTTAGAGTAAAGTCTGGAACCAGCCTCAAAGATGTTTTGAACGTGCTAGATGCCGAATGGATTTCTTTGGGAAAGATTTTTGAAACGGCGGTTGACGCAGGGATTGTTCGAGACATTTTGCCCGCTGATCCGGAACGTTTTAGGTGGTTGCTTCAAAACATCAGCAATGAATGCCGTCGATACGTGCAGCTGCATGCTGTTTCAGAGACATACAACGATGCAAAAGACAGTTGTGTCTAATTTCTATTCGAAGACAGTTTTGTCAGAACAGGATTTTAGCGCAAACAAGGGTCTTTCGTTGTCTTCACTTGGAGAGTCGTTTGAGCCCCCAGAGCCAAGCCTGTCGTGTGCGTCCATCGACGTTCGGAAAGGACACATGGCCAAGGATTGCCGGCAGCCCAAGACAGAGAAGGGAAAAGAAAAAGGTGCAAAAGGTGAAAAAGGTGAGAAAGGTAAAGGAAAAGAAAAGGAGAAAGAGAAAGGCAAAGGAAAAGAAGGAAAGTCTTCTGGAAAGAGTCAGTCGAAGGGGAAACACAAAGGTAAGAAAGGCCTTCGTTCAGCTGAGCATTTCGATCTAGCTACGCCAGAGGAGTCAGAAGTGGAAGTAGCAGACCTAGAACTAGAAGCTGCAGACTATGAGTTTTTCGAAGCGCAGGAAGCCTGGAGTGAGACGTCCGAGACGGCCGAGCCGATTCCTTTGAGCGCACTAGTTCGTAGCTCGTCAACAGTAGCTAGAGAAGCCTCTGAGAAGTTTCGTTGTCGGTTCGTGAAGGGTCGATGTGTGCAGAGTGACTCCGCAAGCTGTTTTTATCCATCGGTGTGACCGCCAATATCCGGGAGCCCAGAGTGAATGCAGTGCACGTGTCCAAGCTTTTGAGAACAAGAAGACAAGAAACCGTATCTAGAGCCCAATACAGACTTGAGGAAGCCAGTGCGACTTAGATTCTTTTGTGCTCTGACTCCGTGTTTGAGCGTAGAGGCAAGGTATGAGGTGTCAAGGTCTTGGAAAAGCGCCAGAGTCACATGTGTGCAAGAAGTCTTTTTTCCAAGACGCCAGTTTTTCCGAGCAGTTGCAACTCGTTGAGACTTGCAAGCAGTTGATCGTGTTGTCTGTCTGTCTGTCTGTCTGTCTCTGTCTGTCTCTGTCTGTCTCTGTCTGTCTCTGTCTCTGTCTGTTCTGTCTCTCTCTCTGTGTCTGTCTCTGTCTGTCTCTGTGTCTCTGTCTCTGTCTGTCTCTGTCTCTGTCTGTCTCTGTCTTTGTCTGTCTGTCTCTGTCTTTGTCTGTCTGTCTTTGTCTGTCTCTGTCTCTGTCTCTGTGTCTGTCTCTGTCTCTGTCTCTGTGTCTGTGTCTGTGTCTCTATCTGTGTCTGTGTCTGTGTCTGTGTCTGTGTCTGTGTCTGTGTCTGT